GACGTCCTTGGATTGGAAAGGGTGACTTTGAAAAAAAAAAGAAGGTCATGGTTGGATAATTTTTTTGTTATTAAATTATTACTTTCACTTCCTCATTCCCACACACATTCATCTTTTTAAGAAAAGAAAAAGAGGTCATGGAGATAAGATTTCTTGGAAAGAAGAGAGAGAGAAAAACAAAAAAAAACAAATAAAACGGACGTCATAGAGCCTCTATGTGTGTCTGTGTGTGTCTATATATATATAAAAAGACGAGAGTACTGGGCGAGATCATTTCTTTTCCATTGGGAGCCATGTCGCTATTAGACGTTTTTCCAACTCAACGGATTTCGAACGGGGAGGAGGGGAGGATTTGAAGACGCTAAAGCAAATCTCCAACTTGAAAATTTTTTTTGGCGTGTCATTGTGCGACATTTATTCCGCATTTACCACCTCATCAAGCGATCGTTTCTTTCAACCAAGATGTCGAATCCTCCAACCTGCTCGTTCAGAATATATACAGAAATTTATTCGAATCGCAACAAACGAAAGAGGAATCTCCCTTCTCTTGGAATCGGATGGATCGAGCTTTGAGACGGCCCATTCAAACAGACCGGCGATATACGGATCCGCGCACGAGTTTTCGGTGGAAGAATATTTTTCTCACGAAACGATATTTTACGTTTGGAGTGAGAACGACGGCTGAGGACGAAGTTCATATTGTTCAAACCACAGCCGCTCCCTCTCGCCTATTACGAATCATCGTCCCCCAATCTGAAGGAAAGAAGTTTTAAAGTCAGCGACAGGATGAAATATAAGAAATATATTCTAAGACCTTTTCAAAACTATGTCGTTCCCCCGAAAAACGCAATATCTCATCGTCACAACCCAGAAGAGTCTCTTTCTCGTCGATCGGTGCTCGTACTCGCTTTGGAAACAATTGAAAGAGGAGATTTCTTTCCAATCGCCGATGATGTTTCAAGAAAAAGAAGAAGAAAAACCCCTCCGCCACCTTTACCCATCCCTTCCTTAGATGATAAGAGGAGCTGGACCAAACCGTCGTCATGGCCCGAAACAAAATCGACCCGGCAACGGAATGAAATTGAAGTCATCACAATTGAAGATGAGGAGGAAGAAAAAAAATTACCTCTTAAAAAACGGTCGACTTACCGGAACCTACCTGGCGTGCAAGATCCGCTTCAGAACCCAGAAGCTTCTTCTTCTTCTTCTTCCCCGACTTGTTCAAACAGGCAGCCTCTTTCGGACTCCTCACAGACAGAACGTCTTCCAGTATCCTCTTCTTCTTCTCTTCCAACCTGTCCCGACATCGTAGAGGTAGAATGTCAGACGGGTCCACAAGCTTCAACGAGTCCCGACATCGTAGAGGTAGAATGTCAGCCGGGTCCACAAGTTCCAACGGGTCCAGAAATCATGGAGGCAGAAGAATCACAGCCGGGTTCACAAGTTCCAACGGGTCCAGAAATCGTAGGAGGTAGAATTTCAGCCGGGTAAACAAGTTCCAACGGGTCCAGAAATCATGGAGGTAGAATCGCAGCCGGGTCCAGACATCCTAGATCCCTCCACTCATCCCAAAGAGACTCCAAGTGTTTCAAGACAGCCTTGTGAGGATCCAGCCCTTCCCGTATGGAATGATTATATGGACTTACAAAATTTGGTTGCAACAGGAAGGAGAAGAAAATAATCATACGGATGGGTGGGTCAAAGACTGTTTAGATCATTTAACCTCGAATGAAATTGAACTGTTATGGAATTGCATTTCTGAAATCACATCGGAAATGGGATAAAAACCAAAACAAAAAAAAAATTTTTTTAATAACAAATTGGAGGAGGGTCATGATGTCAATTAAAAAAAATATTATATAGAGTCCAATCTTGGTGGTTCACTTCAGTTTTCCAGCATGAGGTGATCCACGTTTCCCGAAATATGGATCCCATTCCAAGAGAGATTGTGTAGAGCCTTCACTTCAGTTCTTTTTTTTTATACCAAGAGGAGAGGGTCCCCAAAGGGCTACCCATGTCCAAAGAGAGAAAGTGTAGAGCGTTCATTTCAGTTTTTTTTCCAAGTTTAGGGGAGGGAGGTCTCAAAATGACACCCCCCATTTTCAAAGAGAGATGGTGTAGAGCGTTCATTTCTGTTTTTTTCCAAAGTTAGGGAGTTTTCAAATGACTACCCATTTCAGAGAAAGAGAGAGAGAGAGAGAGAGAGAGAGAGGTGTAGAGCGTTCATTTCAGTTTTCCAAGGTTAGGATGGTGGTGGAGAATCCTCCAAAATGGCTACTCATCTCAAAGAGAGAGAGAGAGAGAGAAAGCGTAGAGCGTCCATTTCAGTTTTCCAACATTAGAAGGTCCCAAAATACCTTCTGAATTCAAAGAGAGATCGTGTAGAGCGTTCATTTCCAGTTCTCCAAGATCAGAAGAAGAGGGTCCGCTTTTCCCAAAATGGCTTTCCGCATTCAGAGACAGCGAAGTGCAGACTTCAGTTTTTCTCCCTCCCCAAGAATAGAGGGTCCCAAAATGGCTTTCCATTTCAAAGAGAGAGGGAGAGGCGTTCATTTCCATTCTCCAAGATAGGGTCGTCTGCTTTTTCCCAAAATGGCTTCCCAATTCAAAGAGAGAGAGAGAGAGAGAGTGAAAGGGTGTGTAGAGCGGTCATGTTCATTCTCCAAGATAGGGTCGTCAGCTTTTTCTCAAAATGGCATCTCCCCATTCAAAAAGAGATCGTAACCAATTTTTTCCAGTTTTTTCCAAGATGGGGGGGGGGAGAAGAAAACCTAGGATGGAATAACACGACACACAGAGAGAAAGAGAAAAAAAAACGCCATCTTGTCATTTTCTGATAGGGTACCGTTGTTCGAACTTGTACGACTTGCGTGTTTGAAGCGTTCGTGCAGTATTTCCACTAAAAATGAAATTATAATGAAATCTTCGTATTGTTAGTTTTTTGTTTAAATTATAAGGATAAATAATATTTATACGTAAGATATCATTAACAATAGTTCGAACTTGCATGTGCAAAATAAGCCTTTAAGATAATGTTTCTGCATATTCAAGAATTTGTTTGGTTTTATTAGCAACCTGTTGGTTGTACTTTCCAATTTTTCCTAAGAAGTGATATTTCGATTTATTCAATATTGTAATTTAGTAAAGAATCATTTAAAATATTTAACCTGAATTAATAGCGATAATTTTCTAAAAAAATAGTCACAAGTTGCATTTTTTAATGAAGTTTAAATAGCTTCTTTCACAACCAACAACCTTATAACAACAAGAAATAAATATTAATAAAATAAAACAGATTATGTGAATTCAGTGATTTCAGTTTATGCGCCTTTCAATTTTATGAATCTCAAGAAATGCCTCGAATAAGTGAATTACAGAAATAAGCATACCCTATTTTGGATACATTTTTTCACACGTTCAGTTGTGTAATAATTAACTACTTTTATCGTAGCTCCCCAAATTTTAAATTTATGCAAAAAACAAAATTTTAACAACAGAAAAGTTAGTTTATCTGATCAAATGCAATTATATTCCTACGTTCATAAACTTAAAAATTAATAATAATTAATCATAAAGGAAAATTACTTTGTTAAACCTTACAATTCATAAAATAGTAAGAATTAATGTCTTACTTTCATAAAAATTATTAAACGAATTACCCTAAAACGTTCAAATATACAGTTTAAATTCTAGCATACATCTTGTTGTTATGGAAACAAGATGCCAGCTTAAAACAAAACATTAATGTATTTACATATTTTGATTATTATTAAGTCTTTTTTCACATCTGGAAAGAAAACAAAATGACATTGTGATATTGTTTACCTAACTTATCAAATTACATAAAAAAAAAAAAAAAAAAAAAAAAAAAAAGAAAATCAATACTTACGCGGAAAAGTAATCCCAGGACTTTTCGAAAAATTGTTTTGCATTCATATACAACACAAGCTGACATGACAAAGAAAAGAAGAAAAAATATTGTAATTACGGACTTCCTCGCACAAGTCACAGCGATAACAGTAACATGGCGGCCAAGCTTCACCGTTTGAGTTGAACCTTCCCTCCTTCTATACTAACGTCCTTGTGGTATGCTTATTCACAAAGCCTACAGACCGTTTCTTCTGCTGTTTGCTCCGATTGGTTAAAAGAGGTAGGGTTACAGAATCTAGTGCTTGGCGAGTTTTGGTTCATCCCTTTTACAATTTGTATCTGAGCGTCGTGTACCAAAAAGTGAGCATAGCTTACCGGAGAAACCACAGTCCAGTGGTAACGAGCGCAAGAATAATTCACAGACCTCTAGGTCGCCGGTTCTATCCCCGATCGTAGCTTTCATAAACTCTGCTCTATATGAATTTATCTTTATTTTAACTTTATTGAATGACTTTGTCATTATTTGTCTTTTCGCCTTCGGGTACGGTGTTAAAAATTGAACGCCTTTAATTTCTCTATTTTGTTAATGTTAATTTTTATTTTTTTTACTGGTTTGTACTCTTTAGTAGGTACCAGTAAGCAAGATTACGATCCAAGATCCCGAAAAGCGTTCAATACATATAGCGCATAATGGAATAAAATATAATTTTAGTATACTTTACTCGTAAAAAGAATAGGTATCCGACACCCTTAAAGTTTACTGAATGTTTTCATTTGGTTAATTTTTAATATTTCTTTATTTGTATAATTAATGCGCTATGAAAATTTACACGACAGACTCTTCCTAAGTGAAATAAAACGAAAAGTGCATATGCTGTCTCGATATAAACACCTTTTCTGTAAAACAATTACGTACTTTAAAGTTTAAATTCAAATACAAATAAAACTATTAATAAGATCAGTAGGTTATTTAAGATATATTCCACACCAATTCCTCTAAGCTTTCATTTATAAACTTCAAAAAAAATATTGAATGAAATAAACGCTGTTTCCGTTTGTTGGCGTTAATTACCACGCCTACGGGCGATAACTCGCCATTCCAAATATGACCGCCAAGCAGATGTTTCCTCCAATGAGAGCAGCCCGTAGCGAAATTGTCTGTAGGCTTTGTGAATATGCTTGTGGTATAACTTGTAAATAATGCTATTTTGAGTTGGAGCATAAGGCGCCAAAGGGAAGCCAAGCTTCAAGAAGAAGAAGAAGAAGACATTGGTTTTTGAGATTGCTTAGGTAGATTTCATTGCATGCTAAAATATGTGTTTACATAATGCTTTTTCAATGTTTGTTGTCAGTTAAACTACATTTATATTAATTTCAAAACGCCTAATGTTTATACTGTAATTTAAACAGTTTTGTACTTTTGTTGGAAAATGTTACTGTGGCTTAATTTTTAAAATAAATTTATGTGTATTTTCGTGGGCATATATTGTAATTCATTCTTTATTGTGAATTACTGGGAGGAGCAGGAATAACCTCAATATTTTCCATTCAAAATTTCCTTTGAATCTAGTTGTAATCACTAAAATTTTTAATTTGATGCATTAGTCATGGAATCGAACATCATTTTGTGAAACTGCGAAGAGGTGTTTGATTCGAAAGCTTTTGTTGCGTGATTTAAACCGGAAATATGTACTGTCTAAATTGTCAAGGAGCTGAACATTGATCTTGGAATAAACTGTGTAGCAGAGCAAGCCTGTTGTATGATTTTTCTGGTATAAAAGATAAATTAATTTTCCCTAAAAGCACTTTTGTAAAAGATATTTGCTCCTTATAATTTCTTTGTTAATTTTGTAGTTACTGAAAAAATGATGACTGAAACTTCGATAGAAAATGACTTAAAGTGACATAGTGCTGCCAATAACGACAGAACATCTGTGGCATATTATCTTTTTACAATAATTTTGTTTATGTTCATAGGTATAAAATGTAGAGATGAAATCGCTCATCATCAGGATGTAGAAATGAGTTTAAAAGTCTGAGAACACATAAAATTACTTGAATATAAAATTTCAAACACTAGTTAAATTTTTTTATAAAAGACATGATGTCTTTAATATGTCTTTTATAAAATTTCATGTCATTAAATATGTAATGCAATAATACAATAACTAAAAACAGATATTATTAATTTATATGAATTACTAAAACTATATGTTTTTAGTTTTTGTATTTACCATAGACTCTGATACCATTTTTCCTTTGCAGCAGTTAAGTTTTGAGCATATTTTAAAGGAACATCATTTTTGTTCCTGACTAGGAATTATAATTTATAGTACAGTTCAAAGAGTATTTGGTAAAGAAAGAAATAAAAACTGGTACTATCATATTAAAGCAAACAACTTGGAACAGATTGGATATCATTTTACAAATGAAAAGAATGATTATATAAGTCATCATTCAATTTAATTGTAAAAGTATATCTATTACATATGTAATTATTATTAAATATACATTTTATGTTCTAGTTAGGTATTTATCCCCAAAATTAATCAGTAAATCTACTTATGAGGTGGTTTTTGTTTCTTTTGTTGTGGTTAAAATTTCTGATGGCAATTACTTTAACATATTCAAAATACTTATACCCGTTAGCAATTTTGAGTCAAAATATTGTATTTCTGCAGAAATTTTACCACAGTTTCTTCCCTTGTTGGCAGATTGTTGATATTATTAAGTGCAGATTTTAAAATTCTGTTTTAAGGTAAAAAAGATTTTTCTTTGTCTGTAAAAATTATTGGAACATATACTACAAAGAAAAGAATACAAAAAAAAAAAAAAAAAAAAAAAAAAAAAAAAAATTGGGGCCATTGCTAAATTGAAGAATTATTATGAGTTTGGGTGCCTGAAAAAATTTTATGCATTTGGTTGCCAGAGAATTGGCCCATTTTGAAAATTTGGTGACTTCTACTGAGGGATATTGTGGTAATTTGCAAGTACCTAAAAGCTATTCATAATTCATATAGTATAAGCTAATAGTTGTAGTATTACTACTACTTTAAGAAGTAATAATACAAGATACTTTATCTTAACTTTTAGGAAGGAACTGAATGCTCTTAGGATATGCAGTTTCATATTGCATTTTATTTGAATCATCAGAAGCTAATTCTTCAGTATTTCTTGGTATTGGAATCATGAAGAATTTGTCATGCAAAATATATTCCTTTACTGTTCTGGAGATACATTCAGAGCTTTTCACTGTTCAGTTGTCATTTTGCTGTTTCACTTATGTAGATTTAATTAATTGGCTAATCTTTGGAATATGGTAACAGGTAGTTTGGCGACATTTTGGTAAGGTGATAAAAGTTACTAGCTAGGACTTTGGTAGTGTACATGGATAAAGTCAAGGGTGTGTGCAATGCTATTTTTGTGCAATTCTGGGATGTTTTTTTAAGTGAAAATAGGTCGACGTGTACATGGATGATACCGTGTATGTGCAATTCTTAAAAACGCGGCAAGCAGTTTGTGATTCTGCACTTTCTCCCACTTTCACACCTAATCTTCGTCATGATTAAACATTTTTGTTCCATAAAAGTTCTAGTATAAGCGTAATTTGGCTAGCAGATTGTTGGAAAAAATGTTGAGTAAAAAAAGAAAAAAATGCCTTTACTTCATGAAAACAAAATGGCGTCCAAAACAAAACTAGAAGGTTGCTGTAGCAATGGTTGATTGCCAAATTTTTGCCAAAAAAATCGTCAAGTTACCATAATCCAAAGATTAACCAATTAATTTAATAAAGTCGAATGATTCCAGCTATTGATAGTCAGTTTTTAAACGCATCAATATTCAGTTTAAAATCAATAGTAACTGCTTTTATGATTGATTGCTGTGTGACCCAGTTATGCAGATGCATGATTATAGAGTCGTAAATTGTTTGCATTGCTTTTTTTTTTCTCATATCCCTGTAAGTGAAGAAAAATTATTCTGAGTGCTTCAGATATTTTGTCCTGACTGAATATATACTTTAATTGATTAAGACTTCTTTTTTGTTTTCATATTACCCTGGTGATTTATCGGCAAGTAAATTAATGCTGAATGTAATCGTCAGCTTTGAGAGCAGTAACAGTTATTTACTTACATACTTTTAATAACATTTATTTTTTTTCTTATTTGATTCTTCGGTTGATCTTTACATTATGGTAACTTGGCGTTTTTTTGGCGAAAATTTGGCGACCAACTCTCCTACAGCAACCCTCTATTTTTTTTTCCCGCCGCCATTTTGTCTTCATGAAGTAAAGACATGTTTCTTTCTTTTTTCTTACTGAACACTTCTTCCAACAATCTACTAGCCGAATTGCACTTATGCTAGAAATTTTATCTAACAAACTGCTTAATCATGACAAATATTCACTGCAAAATTGGGAAAAAAGTGCACAATACCATACTCCTTACGCGTTTTTCAAAAAATAACACATACACATAAACCATGTACACGCCGACTTATTTTACTTAAAAAAACATTCCAGAATTGCACAAAAATGGCATTGCTCACACTCTTCACTATATCCATGTACACTGCTTTTTTCTCATAAATTAGAAAAATTTCACGAAAATACATAACAATTTTCTCAATCTTTAAAACCCGGTAAAAAGAAGAAATATATGAAATTACCTGATCGCGAAAAAGTATTTACCCTTTCCTAATATGAACATTTCCACATATAAAATAAATAAAAATATCCAAAAACCTCTAAATCATCCTATTATATTATACACGTCACCAACGAATTCATACCGCAAGCATTACAAATACTTTAGTATCAAATATTTAAATTATTTCCATGCACGTTTACTTCAACTTAAACATGTAACCAAATTCCTACAAACATAAAATTCACAAAATAACTATCATTTAATTTAAAATATCACTAAACCATGTACACGTCGACTTATTTTTACTTAAAAAAAACATCCCAGAATTGCACAAAAATGGCATTGCGCACACCTCTTCACTATATCCATGTACACTGCTTTTTTTCTCATAAATTAGAAAAATTTCACGAAAATACATGACAATTTTCTCAATCTTTAAACCCGGTAAAAGAAACATATATGAAATTACCTGATCGCGAAAAAAGTATTTACCCTTTCCAAATATGAACATTTCCACATATAAAATAAATAAAATATCCAAAAAACTTTTACCTCTAAATCATGTATTACATTATACACATCACCAACGAATTCATACCGCAAACCATTACAAATACTTAGTGTCAGATATTTTAAATTATTTCCATGCACGTTTACTTCAAACTAAAACGTATACCAAATTCCTACAAACATAAAATTCACAAAATAACTATCATTTAATTAAAATATAATTAAATTCAAAAACACTACTTAAATATAAATGAGCCATACATTAATAAAATACATAAATACCCATTTCGAATTCACTTTACATAGGGCCATGGGATCCAAAAATTAATCAACACTGTTTCACACAACACACTATGAAGCTAAATACAAAATGCTAAACGCAATAAAAATTTCCTCCCTTTCCGATTAAAGAACGTAATTCGTCCATTAATATCACATGAATATCCCATGATCTCTCATTTCCCTCACACAAAAATAATGCGTAATCGGAACTGAGTACTGCTCACATTATTACCAAAGTCCCAGGTAGTAACCTTTATCGCCTCCAAAATGTCACCAAACTACCAGTTACCATATTGTAAAGATCAACCGATTCTTCTTTATTAGGTAATGACAACTGACAAGTATATAAATAATTTGCACAGGAAAATATTATAACTTTTACTGAATTTTTAATTTTTAAAATTTGATTATGTGATGTAATAACATCATTTGATAATGAAATTCTTAACTATAAAGCAGCTACCTTTCTCACAAAACTACCTCCATACCTCTCCCTTTTTTTAAATACATAAATTTAAACAAGCATGTATCTTCATTTATACATAGTGTTCATTCATTGTGCCTTATATTAGAATAATATTTTTTATAATTGACAGCAGTTTGACATGCTTTAGTTAGTGTAGCAAACTCTGGAAACAGTCCGAGTTGAAAAGCATCATTTGTATTTGTTTTTAATACTTTTAATTCTTTAAAAACATGGAAAATATTTGAAAAAGGGTACTTCTTGATTATCCACACTCTCCTTCACTGAAAAGTGTTCACGAGGCAATGCACTAAAACAAGCAAGTAAATGTGCTTATGTAGTTGGTAATCCAGGTATATGTTCGGTCAGCAGATGACTATTGGTCATTAGTATTTGTTTTTGTATTACCAACTGTGATCAGTGTTTCTTTTTGTTGCATTGAGTTCAATTTTCTTTCTTTTAAAGAAATTCTAATGGGAATTTGCTGGCTTATGAAAAAGGAAGCATTTCATTTCTCGGTAGATAATGCAGAAATTCACATTCTGTTATATTGTACTTCATTAAACAATCAAATTTTACGGGTTGGAATATTTTCGCCAATGAGGAATTTGTGCAGTTCTCCAATTTTTTTAAATGAAAACAGATTGCTACATGCATGGAAAGAGGACCAGTATTTACAGTGCAAAGTTGTGTGTGAGGCTGACTTTTGGCCAATTTCGGCTGTTTTTTTAAGCTAAAACAAATCGCTGTGTATTTGGGTAAAATAGCACAAAAAAGATAAGTGTTTAATTATAAATATTTCTTGCATTTTAAATTTTGTTAATTGATTGCTGTTTTATGTAATTCTTAGTGTATCATTATTTTTGAAAGTGGCTATTGTCTTTCGTGGAAAAATTAGTTGACAATTGTTGGCAACATTTTGGGAGTGGTTGCGGATAATCATAAAGCACTCATCCATTTCCTTAGGCAGATGGCCCTTATGTGCTTTGCCATGTTCTAAATAATACAATTTTAGCTTAATTATGAATTACTTTAATCATGCTTTTATAGTGTAATTTTAACTTAGTTATGACTGTCTTTTTTTTCTCAGGAATATTGTTATGTTTAAAATTGAATGGCATTACCATTTTTTTTGTTAGTATCTTCAGGGAGAGAGTTGCATCAGACTGTGAGTAGCAGCTCAGTAGTAAAGTCGCTGAGCACTGGTAGTTCAGTCAGGCGTTTGAATCTTGGAAAATCGGCTGCCTCTGTGATTGTTTTCGTGGTTGTTCCCATCTCTAACATGGATACAAGCCAGTTTCCCTTAGAAGTTCTCCATGAGTCATCTCTCCTTTTGCCATATAAGATTGGATGCATTACCATAATAAAAAACAGAACACACACACACACACACACAAAAAAAAAAAAAAAAATCAAGGTTATAAAAACTTAAATTCAGGGTTGTCAATTTGTAGATTGGAAATTATATGTGTTGTGAAAGGCTGTAATTTTACTATCTCAAAATGTAACTTTTATGTAGGCATTTTCTTATTGTTTCACTATTAGATTCTTTGAGCTTGATTTATTATGTATTTAGCCTTTTCTTATTCATTATTTGTACTAAATTCAGTGCTCATTTTGAAATTTGTAATCCACTGTAGGTATTGAAAATGATATTTGAAACTAAGCAAAATTATATAATAGATACTTATATATTAACACAACTACCTGGCTGCAATTTGGCAAGTTTTTGCAAATGAAAAGGTAAAACCTACTTATTAGGTACAAGTTTGTGCCTTTCTTTTAGAAAGATTTCCCAACTGTCAATATTTATCGTATATTGGTAAACATTATTAACACATGACAAGAAAACATACTTTACAAGTTTAAAATACGAATTTTAATTATTAAATACGGCTTACATGATATATTAAAAAAAAAAAAACTTACATTCTTCTTCAAATCTTTTTGGATATTTTTGCAATATTCTTCCCCTGCAGTACACACTTTGTTTTCACTTAAAAAAACGTCAGAGTATTGCAGCTTCATGGAACTTCTGGCAACAGCGGCTATCTAGGAAATGCATTTCCTCATTGTTCCTTTAAATAATTTTCAGCAAATTTTATATTCTTGCAGAAATTTTTCTGCTATTGCTGTTAATTCCACAAGCTCATATTTTAAAACTAAGGCAAAAAATATCATGAAAGAACACGTATGAAAATGGTGACATTGCTTGACTGAAATGATTGCTATGAGCATGGTTGCAGGAAGAATGATTATGTGCGTTCTTGCCAGTTTCAGCACATTCCGAAAATCTGACCATTTTTACTAAGATGGTTGCCTTAATACACGAGTACCTAAGAATAATGTGATAAGTATATGTATAGCAAATATATGATGAATTACCCTAATCTTACTAAAGCTGGAATTTTTCACTTTAGGACTAGTAGTGTAGTGCCTTGTGCTGAAGAAAAAGTAGAACAAAATGTTATTATAATCCTTTTTTAAACATAAATAATGAAATAAATATGTTCATAATTTTTTAATGCTGCTTTTTAATTAACTGTAATTTTATTCCAGAGTTTAAGTAATTAAGTGTTTACCATAACAGTCGTATAAAAAGCTGTTGTAAGCATGCCTAGTATTCCTGAATCTCTTGATATTTCAAAATTGAGGAAAAAGAAAGAGGAATCTTGGTTGGATAAACAACTTAAAGATGTGACAAATGGATCCGTAGCTAAGGAAATGGCAATTGGAGGTGTGTCAGGATGGTAAGTTTTCTCCTAAAATTTTATTTAGTTTTAGAGTTTTCCCATCTTGCTTGTGCTGTATTTTGTACATTATTCTTTTTGCATTCAATTTCATTTTTTAAGCTCACAAGGGGGGATTTTATTTTGTAGATTTTCCCAGTCTTTTAGATAATGGAAATTCTTCATGCATTTATGGTACAACTCTGATATACACCCTAATTTCACCAAATGTGGCGATATGTGTTCTGAGGTGGTTTTTGGCGCGATTGCGTGTTGTATGGCAACCCTGTTGACGTTGAAAAATCTTTCGCTGGAGTTGTTGGTTCCCGTCATGCTTGTGTCTGAGAAGCTAGGAGGAAAGATTTAATGGGAAATTGTTGAATTGAAGTCGGCATGGAAATATCGTCGTGCAATCCTTTGAGGGCATGGGTTTTGGAGGTGTGGAAAGAAGTATGGGAGGTTTTTTAGTGCTGTGCGTGATAGAAGTGGGATTTGTGATTGTTTGTTATTTTATTTGTGAACCATAGTATGATTTCTGTCTGGCTGTCATATAAATACGACAGTGATTCGTTGGCGGTATGTTAAAGGCGGTATGAAATTGGTATTTCTGTTTCGAAAAACATTAATGGTAAGTGCTTTTATTTTATTGTTTTTATTTTGTAGAACGTTATGTTCATTGTTTTTTTACCATGAACTTCTGTTGTTAGTGCTCTTTTTGAATTGTTTCTAATTTATTTTAGTTTATTTTGCTGATTTGTGCACAATGTCTAGATTGTGCAATTCGTAGATTTTTTTTTTAGTTTAAACAGAATGCTGTGTACATGTATTCTTGAAATTTATTGTTGTTATGTTAATTTTTAAAGCGAGGTGTGCGTCGTAAATTCGTTCGTTTCCTAGATGGTGCCATTCGTAGATGTTCTTTTAAGTTAAACATATCGCTGTGTACATGGACTCTTGTCAAATAATTTTGGTTAGAAACTCACGTTTTGCTGTCTAAATTTTTTGTTTTTTCGGATTTTTAGCTTAAATGTGTGTTCAAAAACGTGGTTTTTGCATTCGCGAAAACCGTGTTTTTGGAGACATTTTAGGCTTAAAGTTCAAAATGTAGACAAAAAATTTAGATAGCAATATTGCCATATTGCGTGGAGTTTCTCGCCAAAAATATTTGGTGAGAAATTTGGCGCCTTGAGGGCGTACATCAGAGTAGTTCCGCATTTATTTTATATGGACATGGTTACACTTCATTCTTCTTAGTATAAATAGCTCAGTCCTGTTGATATAATGGTGTATCTCTAGGTGCTAAACTTGGCTCATTGTTAAATTATTTTGCATTAATTTTGTTTTGCAGAAGGGGGGGGGTACGTTTATATGACCTAAACTAAATAAATTTGCTAAATATTTCTTAATGAATACTGATTTTGAAAGAAAATATATTACAAGTTGGATTAATTTTGCTTATATAGGGGGGGTGAGGTAGTAAACATAACATAATTTACTACCTTCTACTATCCTTCACGTTTTCAGTATTAGTGAAAGAATTGAAAATTGTAAAAGAATTATAGAAAATATGAATTGTACTTGAAAAAATACCAAGTTTGATAAGTTAGAAGGACAATTTTTATTTCATAGGTGTGTTGGTATGGAACATATCAGTGCCTCACTTTGCAATATTTCTAGTAAGAAACAAATTTTACTCTGTTGATAACTGTAAATTCAAGTGGTGCAGTAGTGTTTAATAAAAACTCCTGACAGAGTTAAGTTTCAGCAGTAAAACTAAATCCTGTGCAGATGTTGTCCATCATCAGATATGTATTGTAAACCGCGTCAAGACAAATAGTCAGTTCAGTCCATTTTATATCCAGCCATGATTTTACATTATTTAGATACTGTTAGACATACTAGGTACAAATATTTAGTGGTACTAACATTATCAATACGGGGTTACATGATAGCCGCTTGTCGCAGAAAATATAGATTATGCAATTGTATGCACAGGAAGAGTGTACAGTAATATTTAAATATAAAGCTAACCATCTAAACAAACAAGTATACTCAGACGTTAATAAATTTCTGAGACACATTTTGCATTATATAGGAAACAATCAGGTTAAACTGCAAACTTGCCTTGCTTAGGTACGTCATAAGGGATATACATCAACAGTTATCCAAAATTGAACTGGAGCTATATAAGCTTTATCTGGAACTCGCTAATTCTTATCCAAAATTCACTGCCATTGAACAAAAGTCTTGGTCTAAATCGAAGAATGTGGTTAACCTTCATAAAAACACCCTTGCATTTAAATTCCAAAAAGTTCTTTTATAGTCTTTCAATTTAAGTCGTTCAAAAAAATCTTTAAGCCAATAGTTAATATTTCTAGTCTTAGTTTATCAGAAGAACAAGAGAGAATTCTAAAATATAATTTTAACTTCTCACAAACCTCAAAACCCTTGATTCTAAAGGTTCTGGCTCTTATCAAAAAAGCTTTCAAATTCAGTAAAGTTTCAGATACAGAGAAAGAAATGATTAGGCATCTATCACCCATAATGTGACAATAAGCCTTTGAAACAAAATCTAAGCATTAGAGAAAGAGCTGCAATGTGCGAAATTCATTCTAACCCAGACATTATCATTTCAAAAGCCAACAAAAGATGCCAGATAGTCGTCATGGACAATAACACTTACATTGATGGTGTCATTAAACTCTTAAAGATGGACCATATAATCTGACTCTTAAAGACCCTTCACCTTCGAACCTCTAAAAAATAAAAACTGCAAACAAATCTTCACAAATCCTTTCGACCAACTTAAAACAGTCACTTATCCCTTCTGTTATGAATTGTGCCAGATTGTATGCTCTTCCAAAAATTCATAAAAGTAGCCTATTGTATCGAATATGTATTGTATTTCTGCCCTATTGTATCAAATTTAGACACTGCCTCTTACCCGCCAGTTAAATATTTAGTTTCTAAATTTTCACCCCTATCAGATAATAACATTTACACCATAAAAATTAAATAGAGTTTGTAAAAATAGTTAAACGCATTTCTCTTAGAAATTTACTCATGGTATGTTTTGATGTAAAATCATTATTCACTAATGTTCCAGTGGAGGGTGCATTAGGATATCTAGAAACCAGACTTTGTGAATTTAATTTCTCCTGCATTGAAATTGATGAGCTAACTTCCCTTACACAACTCTGTTTACAAACAAGTTTTCCAAAATAAGCATTACAAGCAAACTGGGGGATTAGCCATGGGAAACCTTCTTAGTCCCATCCTAGCTGATATCTACATGCATTATTATGAATCAGAATTATTTGAAACTTTAAACTTCATCGTATTCTGCTATGTAGACGATACTTTCACCCTGTTTGATGATAATAAAGATGATTTAAATAAACTTACTTCTATAATGAATTCCAGGTACTTACGGAAAATCACGTCGATCACAATCATGCCAAACCATTTTAATTTGAGGAAATTGAGATCTAATAGTATTCTTTCAGCTTCATTTTTTCACTTTGCAAAAAGGGTCTCATCTATTTCCACGATGTAGTTAGGCCCTCCAATTTTTTCTTTGGCCTTGATAAAAGGCTGCGTGCGCAATAGAGGAAAAAAAAGGAGTCTTTACTGAAGAATAATAACTAACATATGTAATCAAGGTTACAGCAAAACCAGCATGTGAAAAATCGCGTAGTTTGGCATCTTTTCTTTAATAGGCAAAAATAGTCAACGGGATTTTCTGTAAGTATCGAATTCCATTGATCTTGCTATTCAGTTCACTTTTGAACTTGAGACATGCAATTCTCTTCCATTTCTCGACATTTTGGTCACATGTAACACATCCAACTTCCGTACTATGGTTTACCGTAAACCTTCATCGGTTTGCCTTCCAGTACACTTCATCATGTCATCTGACTAAACAAAAGTTAGCTTCATTTTATTCCTTTGTTTTCCGTGCACTTCAGGTTTACTCCTCCAGATTGGTTCTTGATCAAGAACTAAATTATTTAAAAGCAGTAACTATCGACAGGGGCTTTTCACTCAATACAGTACAAAGTCCATAATCCGGACCTCAAAGTCACAAACTGATGCATGCGCGTAATGCGTTTATGCATGCGCGTTTAATGCGCGCATCGGCTACTCATGTGCGTAAAGCACTTACCCATGTGCGTTTCTGATAGTGAAGAAAGTGAGAGAGGTTATTGAAAACGAAAAAATTTCGATTGACAAGTTAGTCGGTATTCTCTACACAGCGATTACAGGACTTGAACAGTGGAATTTTGTACTGAACAAGAAATTATGTCTGCTTATAGAATTAAAGAAAAAGTATTAGCACATAAAACGAAGCAACTTAAACAACTTACATTGAAAGAAATGTTTAATAAAGTAAACAAATAAATATTAAGCTTTTTTTTGTAAACTTTGATACCCTTTAGATCATAATTGCTTTTATTTCATAAATTACAGTTTCATATTTTTAATTTTATAATTTCTGCATGCCATCTTACCAGATTTAAATTGATGATTTATAATCCGGAATCACCGAAGTCCCGACGAGTCCGAATTACGGACTTCGTACTGTATTATTAACCAAGCAGTTAAACAATTTTCACCTCAGCACATCAAAGGGCTGTTTTAGGAGATTTTAAGAATTCTATTGTTATTCTTTTCTTTCCATCAGTTAACTATAAATTTACATGTATTTTACAGAAATTTAAATTTTGGGTTGTTTATTCTCCTATCAATAAAATTCTGAGTTCCATACTTAAGGACCCCATTCTGGATATGAATTCTTGGGAGTATTTACAGGACTCCTCGCCAGTGTGGTTTAATGTACATCGGTCAAACTGAGAGAGCCTTAAAGTTTCGCGTTAAGGAGCATGAGGCATATGTTAGGAAAAAGGAAACACAGAAGTCCACTGTTGCCCAGCATTGTTGGTCCGAAACTAACAATTTTCCTTTTTCTGCAGCCAAACTTATTCGAAAAACATCTTCCATTGGTGAGTTAGATTTTCTAG